GGGGAGTTACTGGAACAAAACATTCTATGCCGCAGATAAACTGCCGCCCTCCAGCCTGCAGGCAAGTCAGAGATTCCCATTTGACAGGTGAGGGAAAGGGTTTAGGGATCTCACAAGAGAGGCTCAAGATCCCACTGCTTGGAGGGGCAAGGCTGGGTGCCTGGCCAGGGGCCCTGCTCCTTCCCCCAGGCCTGGCTTCTCCCTGGGATGCCCGCACCTGCAGGTGCCACCAGCAGAACAGGAGGTAGCAATCTGGAACGGAGCCAGAAGAGGGAAATCTTCCTCACCCCGGGGGCCTAGGGCCTGCATTCTTCCCAGCTAGCCACCCCCCCACCCCCCCACTCACCGTCTCCCCGCCCCCCCACAGGGGCAGGGAGGACACAGGAGGGAGAGGCCCGGTCTTGCAAGCTGGGACTGCACAAACAGGTACGGGACAATCACCCAGAGGCCCTGGGGGGCGGGGAGTGCCCACACTGACATCAGCAGCACCCTGGAGGAACGTGCAGTTCTCTCTCGACAGCGGGGGCCCCTCTGCCCCCCACCCCGTGCGTCCCTCCAGCCAACTGGGCCGGTTCCGCGAATTTTGTTACAGCCTCGGTCAGCCTCGGTCAGCCGGCTCGGGTGCTAATAATATGAACAGATGTGGGTCATGCTGCTCCATCTCGTGGCCCCAGTCCAGTCCTGCCACCGGCACCCTGGGCTGGCGGTGAGCGGGCCTCGAGTCCTGGGGTCCCGGCGTGAAGCTGCGTCCGGGGGGACCCCAGCCCCTGGGTTGGCCTGTTTGTGCAAAGCACCCCCCACCCCCGGTGAGGCTAGCAGCCCTGACTCCACAGTTCAGAGGCTGACATGGAAGAGAGGTTGAAAATACTCAGATCACATGTTTTTTTTTTTTTAATTTTTTTATTTAGTTATGATAGTCACAGAGAGAGAGGCAGAGACACAGGCAGAGGGAGAAGCAGGCTCCATGCACCGGAAGCCCGACGTGGGATTCGATCCCGGGTCTCCAGGATCGCGCCCTGGGCCAAAGGCAGGCGCCAAACTGCTGCACCACCCAGGGATCCCAGATCACATGCTTTTAAATGATACAAGTGAAAAGCGTTTTTTATGTATTAATTTCAAAAATTATAAGCAAAAATTTTAAGTGCTACGAATGAAAAACGATACAAATATCCTTTACAGCTGAGGCTTGAAACCTGATCTCTTTGTGCCCAATTGCTTCGAGGCTAAGAAGGGCCAAGAGGGAGACTGAGGCCCACAGCCGTCCGCAGAGAAGCAGCCCGAGTGCTGCCTCCGTGGCACCTGAAGCCCAGGACGCACAGCCCGAGCACCCCCAAAACAGCGTCTCGGTGTAGGCAGGGGCTGTTGGCAGGTGGCAGCACCTGCCAGGGGTGACCCTGAGGCCTGGGGCCAAGGGACGGAAATGGGTCTGAGCCCAGGAACAGGTGGTGCCATGGGCACAGGCCTCAGTGCTGGAGAGAGCACCCATGGGTGGGGGGTGGCTGCTTCAGTGTGGCCCAGAGGTCCCCGGAGGGAGCAGCACTGTCCTTGGTTCTCCTGGCAGCCCCTGGTATGCCTGTCCTCACTGAGACACGGGCCATTTTCAGTAGGACTCTGCTTCCCCCTGGAAGTGGATTAAAGCCCCTACTCAGGGAGTGCGTGGGTGGCACGGTTGGTTAAGCGTCCGATTCTTGGTTTCAGCTCAGGTCCTGAGATCGAGCCCTGCATTGGGCACCACTGCTCAGCGCGGAGTCTGCTTGAAGTTCTCTTCCGCCCCCGCCTCGACTCCCCGCTCGCTCTCTCTAAAATGGATAAATACATCTTAAAAAAAAAAAAAAAGAGGCCCTACTTAGTGCTTATCCCACAGACTGGTCATCTTCCAGCACCAGCCAGCAGGATGTAGGTCCTTCTATGCAAGTGGGCACACCTCACTCGAGCCCTCTCAGGTCTTGGAGAAGGGTCCGTGGTTCTGTGTGTGGCTTGATGGCTGCAAAGCTCCCTCCAGGGTGACCGTGGGCAGGGTTGGCTGCCCCGAGTGGCCATCAGCAAGGTGTGCAGATGCTGACGGGCCCCTCTCTTGCCTCAGCTGTGTTCGCGGAGGCCGCGCGATGCCCAGGGCTGCAGCATGGAACAAGACGGATGGGCCCCAGGCGGGCCCTTACCCTCCAGCGTGCGAAGCCTTGTTCCAAGAACTGCACAAACACCTCTGGAATGACGGCATGCGAGGCGGGGCTGGGCCAAGGCTGTGGGAACATGGCAGGCCTCCCAGAGGAGGGGGGTGATGGGGAGGCTGTTGGCAGAAGGAACTGGGGCAGCATGTCAGGGAAGGGTGGTTGGAGGAGGCTCCGGCAGGCAGCGGGGTCAGAGCGTGAGGGCCATGAACACGACCCAGGGACGGAAGAGGACCGCACTCCCTCCATCTGGCCTCCGTTTCCCCATCTGTTAGAGACCGCCGGCAGCCTCCCGCGCCGCTTAGACATGTCTCTCCAGCTCTCATCTGTCTCTCCATCCGAAAAACAGCAAGAACCCAGTTAAGGAAGTGGAGTTGCTGACCAGAGTCCCCGAAGGCCCTGAGTCTGACCTCCCCCCTACCAGCACCAGCTCCCCTGGGGAACTGAACCCCCAAGGGCAAGGCCAGCCAGGGGTGGATGGGCATCGCTGCCCTCCCCGGACCAACCTACGGAAGGGGAGGAGAGGGGCTGAGGATGGACGCCGAGTGGCCGTCAGGTCCCCCATGCTCCACTCAAGCAAAGCCCCAACTCTTGGGCTCTGGGGGTCTGCTTGGTCATGGAGTCCTAGAGAGCAGGGTGCTTTCTCACACCCTTCGTTGTCTGGGCCCTGGGCCTTTACTTCCTACCCAAGCAGCATGGGCATCTACCCCTGATAGGGCACCTAGGCCTGGTTCCTGGGACAACAGCCTCTACGAGAGGCTGGGGGAGGGTGCCAGTGGGCCTCCAGCTGCGCCAGCCCCCCCCCCCCCGGGGCTAGCCTTCCAGGGTTTGCTCATTCCTGTCCACTTTCCCCAGGGCAGGGCCCCGCACCCCGGAAGGGTTAGAAGTGCTTGTTGAATACACAGCAGAGCAGACAGGGGATGACCCGAGGTCGGGGAGTGCCAGGTCTCCGGTTCCTTCATTCCCAGGGAAATTTTTTCTCTGCCCAAAGCCACTAGGTGTGACAGGCAAGGTGACAGTTATAGATCGGGGGCCTGGCCTATGGATTGTTCTTTGGATGTGGTCGCTTCCGTGCTTTGGCTCCAGGACTTGGCTCCTGTTGCTTCTGGTGGGAGACCCCACGCTCTCCCCCTGGAGCTGCTCACACCTGCCACACTCCGGGGCTGCTCTCTATCACTGTCCCCTGCCCACTGGCCTGTCACACACAGGCTTCTCCCACCCGCCTGGCTGCCACCTTCTGGGGTCGATGCCTTGAATAGGACTTGAGCTGCTAAGGACGATGTTTGGCAACTGAGGACACGAAACAACACTTAGAGCATCCGGTGCCCCAGGCACCTTTTACCATAGATGTGCTCAGCCTTTTCCTCCCCACAGTAACCCAAGGAGGTAGGTGGTTTTGAAGATTAGGAAACTGAGGCAGAGGCAGGTTAAGTGATCTGCCCGGGGCCACCCCCTGGGAAAACGATCCTGCCCAGACAGCCGGCTTGCTGGGGCCCACCGATAGCCAACAGGTGAGCTGTCGTCGGGATTGCCGTCGCAGCGGGGTGGATACGTCGCAGCGGGGTGGACACGTGGGTAGTCGAGGGAGGGGGCGCACCTGCCCCCCTGGGAAACTCGTCGGAGCCCAAGCCCCTCAGGTTCCGTCCCCTTTTCCCTGGTGTGGCTTTGTCTTCCACCCTCCTGGACACGTGTCCCACCACTCACCTCGGCACGAGGGGTTAACAAGCACAGAGGAGCCAAGTTCGGCAAATGTTTGCGTAGTGATTGCTTCGCTATGGGCCCCTGAGGCCAGGCAAGGTTTCCCGGGGCCCCTGGGCATCGCCCTCCCTCCCCCCAAGCTTCAGCTCCCTGTTTGGGAAGTGGGCTGGCTCGCCCAATCACAAGGTGTGACATCTGGTAGGGGTCCCCAGTTGCTCCAGAAGCGACGCTGTGTCCACAGTCTCTTCACCGGAGTCCTGGTGCCGCAGCCCGGGTGCCAGCCCGAGACGCCGCCGGCTGTGCCCCGGGGACCTTGGGGCCAGGACGCGGTTACAGCTGGGCCGCACAGCGCAGTCCCCTTCCGGGCACCGGGGCCAGCCTGGCACCAGGAGATAAGCCGGTGATCCGCAGAACCTGGATGGATGAGGCGGCCCGGCCGGCCACCTGACCGTGGGTGGGGACACTTGTCAGAGGCTGTTTTTTGTAGCCAACAGTTGGACAGTCTGTCCCGCCCGTGGCTTGGCGGGCTGCCGGGAGGGCCGAGGGCGGCTGGCGACACCTCTGCCAACTGCGGCTAACAAGTGGTGGCTCGCAGGCCGGGCCGCGGTGACCCGGCGGGGCGGCCAATGAGCGCCCAGCTGCAGTGGCACCACCGGGCGGCCCGCCTGCCTTTGGCTGCGGCGGCAGCGGGAGGGGCCTCGGGCCACCAGTCAGGCTGCAGGGCCCTGTCTCCGGGAGGCCCGGCAGATCTGCGGCTCCATTCACAGAAAGCTCTGCGAGGCTGCCACAGTTTCTAACTTTTCCGACCCTCCGGAGGGCGGGGGGCGGGCCATGGGGCGGTGCGGGGAGTGTGCCTGGGAAGGCTGTGCAGCCAGAGATGGAAAGGAACTCGAACTTTCCCCTTGCTCTGGATCCGGAGTGGGCTCTAGCTCCCAGCAGGGATGGAGAGAGGAAGCAGGGACGGTGGTGGTGGTGGGGTTACCAGGGACCCCAGGATTCCAGCCTGAGCCCCTCACCCTGTGCCTGGAGTCAGCCTTGGAACCTCCCTGGGGACCTACGTGGCCATCAGTAGGAACGGGTGTTTGTACCCCGCCACCTCAGCCCCCTTGCTCAATGCAGACCCACCAAGGCCAATCACATAATAAACATATATTTATAGATGTACAATTTTAGAATTCTAATTCAAGAAATACAGCTTCTCGGGGGATCCTTTAGGATCTATGTTCTTATTGCACATGGGTCAGCCCACCTAGGGACATCTACCAAGACCAGATGGTAGGGATGGTGGGGGCAGAGCACCAGAGCCACCACGGGTGGGGCGCTCTCGCCCACGTCCAGCTCTTCTCATCTCTCTGGCCCGGGGTGGCTGCTGCATCACAGGGTAGGATCGCGTTCAAAGATCACATCTGACATTTCTTTACCAAGCTTCCTTTCCCAGCAAGAATCTTATTCTTTGGGGGTGCGGGGGGGAGATTATAAAAAAAAGAAAAAAAAAAGAGCCAAGAGATACTCTGGGAGGATGGTTATCACCTCCTGGCTGGCAGCTTGGGGAAGTAAGGCTTTGGAAGATGGCAGGCTCAGTGACACCCGCTGCCAGAGGAAAATTTGGGAGAAACGGTAATTCCAAAAGGCCCAGTAGAAACTGTGGGAATAAATAAAACTTCCCTCCCTTCCCCTGGCAGCAACTGCTGTTGTGAGAAAAATCCTCACTTCCAGGTGAGTGTAAGAAAACCCTTCGCAAGGTGTAGCCTTTGTCCAAAGTGCAACAGAAGGCCGGGTGGCATCATGTTCATGGAGGGCGGAGACAGAGGTGCCCACGGGCCTCGACTTTCTTTGGGAGGCGGCTGCTGCCCCAGGGTCTTGGGCACCACCCGGCTGGCTCTTGGAGGAAGAACCGTCTGGAGTCCTTGGTGCCTGACTTGGGAAAAACCAGTGGCAACAACGCGGAGCTGTGCCCTGTGGCATCTATAAGGCAAAACCCACTTTGGGACTGAGGGGGGGCAGGTGGCTGGGCAGCACTCAGGCCCCCTCCCTAACCTTGTCCTCTGTGGCGGGGTGCGCAGAAGGCTCCTGGGCTCCGGGACCCAGAGCCCACCTGAGCTGACCAGGGCTGCGGTGGGTGGTCTCACGCCGTGGGCAACCCGGGGCCTCTACCACGACTGGATACTGACGGGGGGCCTGGCCCTAGGGGCACTTTCTCCCCTGAAAGTCGGCTCCCCTCCAGCTTCGTCAGAAACCTGGCACCTCTGAGTTCCCTACAGACTTAGGCTATCATGATTACCGCCGCCATCAAAAGCAGGCTGGGGTTAGGGGAACGTTGAAAGCTACGACCCGACTTCCCTTCGGGCTGTCTGCTATGGCCAACGTCTAGCCTTTGAGGGACCAAGTTACCTTCCTCAGACAGGCCTCGTTTTCTAGAACAGGGAAGAAATCATCTAAACAACTTAACCAAATCCCTGCAGAGTTTAAAAAGTAGACTATATATATATATCTTTATATATGCTATTTACATATAAATAGATATATATATATACACGTATCCATGCTCTATAAATTACATTCTATGGAGAGTTCTCGTTCCTCCTCCTCCCATCCTCGGCCAACGCCTCTGACGGGCTTCCGTGGAGAGGTGACTGGTGGTGGCTCCGGCGGGCGGGGAGGAAGGCAGTTGGGCGCCCCCTCCCCCAGCCCTTTCCACAGACGTAGCTCCAAGTTTCACATTCTACTTCCGTTGCCATGGTTTCCGTATCCTAGGAGAGAGCCGAGTGGAGGCTGCCTCGGCCAGCCCGGCCAGCCCTGAGGAAGGGAAGCAGCCCCGGCAGGTTTTCCTGTCCTAAGAGCTCTCGGCATTTACCGGGTGAGAGAGAGGGCAGCGGTGCAGCGTTCGGCCTCCAATTCCATTTTAATTTTTTTTTTCTTTTTATGTCTTTCCTTAAATATACAGTCCATCACCTTGGCTCAGTGCATGTCACCAAAAATTCTCCAGGGATTTCATGGTCTGGGGAGGAGAGTGAACAGTTAGCTGGGCAGTCGCGGCCCCGGGCCTCTAGCTCAGCCTACGCAACCCGGCCTCCCGGCTGCGTCCTGCCCGCCCCAGCCCCAGCCTGTCTCCCTCCTGCACTGCGTCGCCCTGGGGGCGCTGGCGGGCGGACCCTGGCCGAGGGGGCCACAGGCACAGGATGGATGGGCAGGTACCGACAGGAGAACTTGACCGGCTCTGCCTACGCGCCCGGGGCGGCCCAGTCTCTCCCGGCCGGCACGTGCTGAGAGCGGAGCTGCGACCCACATGCAGGGGTAGAGGCGGCGGGAGCCTGCTACCAGCGACCTGCACACCACCACCCCCTCCCCATACTAAAAGCTCTGTGTTCAACCCTAAACTCATGACATCCGTTCTCTTCCTTGGACCACAGGTGCGATGCCCGGGCTTCCAGGCTGCCAGGTGCACTGGCACTTGACAGAGTCCCTGATTCCAGCAGAGGGCAAGTGGTCAGGGGACACCGCCTCTCCTGCTCCCAGGCCGCTGGCTCCCTCCCCGACCCACTGTGGGGCTGCCCTTCCAACCTTGTTCCATTTCCTCCTGCCTAGAAGGGCCGAGAAGAGGACGGGACCTTGGCCCCCCTATTCTCACTTCCTGATGTCCGGTGGGGAGTGTGTGTGGGGGGGCTATCTTGGGACCAGTAATCCTTGGTGGCCTCAACAGCAGAGCACAGACACCAGTCTGTTGTACCTGGGGAAGGGCCGTGGTGACTTGGTGGCTGGATGAGACCAGGGAAGCACGCATGGCCCTCAGCAGTGGCCTTGAGTTGCCCCTTCTGCCTGGTTCTTGGGCACCCCACATTCCCAGGGCCAGGGGCTTGGAGGTGGCGTAGACAGTAGCACTGGAGGCCCGAAACAGACCTTGGTTTCTGAGCGCACCCTAGAGCTGCCCCAGCTCTGCAGGCTGGAGGTCAGGCTGGGGACAAGCAGTCTGTGCCGTCATCAACAGGCTGTTTCCCTCTCTCCCTCCCACCCTTCTCTGCCTTATGACCAGGGCCGGAGCTGCCAGGAGTTGCAGGGCAGAGGAGGCCCTGGCTCATACTTGGACCTCGGTGGCGTGGCCGGCCCAGGACTATCCATGCAGGGAGGCCTGCACCTCTGACAGTCGGCTACAGCTCGGGGTGCCCATCCGCTGTGCTTTGTGGTACATATCTGTGTCACCGAAGTAGCGGGCCCGGTACAGCAAGCCTTCCTCTGCAAAGCAATGGGGCAGAGTTAGGGTGCGCCTGGTATCTCCCACAGGCCACTGGAGCACCTGCCAGCCCGTGGGCGTGGGAGAAAGCCTGTCACAGGCCCTGGAGCTGGGGCAGAGCTGGCCTCCCTTCAGGAAAGACCCTGGACAGCAAAGTTTATGGTCCCAACTTGTGAGAGGGCAAGACCCTGCCATCCTGGCTCAACCGCCCTAGGGTCCCACAGATAGAGCTGGACGCCTGATCCCTAGGTGGCCAGGACACGTGCTCCAATCTGTCTCGACATACTCACCTCTGGCAGCCAGACTCAGGCTGATAGCAGTGATTCACGGGAACCTGGAGGAAACCTCCAGGTGGCCCCTGGCTCCCAGCCCCAGGGAAGCAGGGTGGGGTCCCTCTTCTGACTGGGAGGTGGCTGGTACACAGCAGCGCCAGGCGCTGGGCCCCACAAATCCCCGTGAGCAGGGCTCTCTCCTCCTGCTCTCAGGCTCTGTCCCGCGACACCCACACACTCACTTTGCTGCTTCTCCTTCCAGCAGTTGTTTCGGAGGTTGGCGATATAATCGTCTTCCACGTTCCGTTCAACTGTTTTGAGGCTGGAGCCTGTGTACTCCTTAGAGAAGCTGTCTGCCACGTAGTAGACGACATTCAGGTGGTCAGTGATCCGCCTGTGGACGTGGCCCACTGACCTGGCCGGAAACACATCAGGCACAAAGTGGGCACAGGTCCCCAGGTGCAGGGCGGCTCTAAGAATGACAGGTCCCCCCAACGGGAGGTATAGCACAGGCCACAGGAGGACTTGCTTCCTTCGCAACTAGAGCAGGAACTTGCACAACACCCAAAATGAGGGTCTGCAGGAACTGCAGGTGCCCCCCCCCACGCCAGGTGGTGCAGACTACGGCCACCCCTTCCCCAGGCCATCTGCTTACCATGCTGCCTGTGGGGAGAAGCCCCTTTGTGAGAGGCCCTGGTCGGCGCAGGAGGGGAGGCTGGGCTCTGCCTCTGATCAGGGGTGTGAGCTGGGCTCTCTCTGCCTCCATGTCCGCATTCCTCCCCTAAGTCGATTGCTGCCCGGGGCCTGCCTGCCTACCCAGGAACCCCCAGTCTGGAGTTAAGAGGCTTAGGAACAACACAACAGAAGGATTCCAAGGAGTTGTGGCCTTCCAGCTCTTGGTCCCACCTTCCAGCTCCAACTACAGGCTCTGCAGGCTGTGGAAGAGCCTGGACACGCAGCAGACGGAAGGCAGTGCTGGGGGGTGGGGGGAGGAGCAGCCGCTACCTGCCCTCTGCTGCTGCCTCCAGCTGCACAGCAAAGGGCTGGCAACAGGCCAGAGAGCTCAGCGGCCAGTGTGGCTCTGGAAGCCTGACTCTGCTCCCTGCTGGCCGAGAGGAAGGCTGCCAGGCTCCCGGGAAGGGCCGGGTGGTCTGGGGAGCAGAGAGCTCCCCCCAATAGGAGCTGAGCGCCCGCTAGGGTATGCCAGGTGCTGGAAATACGTGAGGGGAGCTGATACCTTGAAAGGCGAAATAATTTGCCCTAGTTGCACACTACTGGCAGCTGAGACCATACATCCATTCAACAAATACTGTTGAGTATTTCTAACAAACCCGGTGTTGTTTAACAAAAAATTTTATTTATTTTAAAGTAATCTCTATGCCCAAAGTGGGGCTTGAACTCAAGACCCCGAGATCAAGAGTTGCATGCTCCACTGAATGAGCCAGCCAGGTGCCCTGAGCCTGGCATTTTATGTATATTATTCAATGAATTTTCACAAGCAGATAGATGCCGTTATTCCCATTGCATAGATGGGGAACTCAAGCTCAGAGAAGTTGTGTAACTTGTCCAGGATCACACAGCTGCTTAGTTAATAGTTGAGCTGGGATGCAAAGCTACCTCTGCTTTGTCTGAGTCTAGAGCCTCTATTCTCTCCATGGCCTCTAGGCCCCCAACCAGAACTTAAGAGCAGAGGTTCTTACCTCAAGGTCAGCAGATAAGGTCACCCCTCAAGGGGGTGGGGGGGTGGCCATGAAGCCTGTGAAATTATGTGCAAAATTGTGTGCATGTGCAATGTTCAAGGGAAAAGATCTGCAGTTTCCATCGCATTTTAGTGGACTGATCCTAAAAGATCAAGAACCTATGCTGAACAGGGAAAGTGTATGTTCTTGATTCCAAGTCAGATATCTGAATTGTGATTAAGGACCCATAGGATAGGAAGGAAGGCCTCTGATGGGGGCTGAGAATCCCAAGTCCCTGTCCACCCACCACCCTAGCCCCGTCCCTAGCTGCAAGTACTCACGGCCTTGGGCTCAGGCTGTACGGGGGGCTGGAGACCATGAGCTGGCTGAGAGCCGACACGAGGATCAGGATGAGGATGGGCATCAGCTGAACAAACACCCCCAGCCCGCCCTGGAGGGAAGAGCCACTGGTCACCCAAGGCCAGCGTCAGCCACAATCACCCAGCTTCCCTGGCACGAAGGAGCCCGGGGCAGCAGGAGGCAGCTGCCACACAAATAGGCCATGATGCTACTCTCTCCTCCTCCCTCCCATGGGCCCCTCAAAATACAGAAACTCCTCCACCTGCCAGTTCCTCCAGATGAAAACAAAATGGCAACTGGTATTAAATACAGGAAGAGGATGCCATGTAGGCAGGTGTTTACTGTCAGAGAATACCAAAAACATGAGCAAAAGTGGCTGCCTCCAGGAGACTGGCAGGCAGGGCTGGAAGACTGTTTTCACTATATACCAATTTAAAAATAGTCAGTTAAAAAATCGTAAATAAAAACAAATTTGTGCATTGGGTGATAATTTGTGATTTAAAAAACTCTTCTGTATGTTCAATACACATACACACACGGTTTTAAACAAACGAATAAATAAAAACCTGAGGCCACGCTGACAGAGCAGAGGAGTATCCCTCTGCCTGCCACAATTTTAAATGCTCTGAAATCGTCCACAGAATTTTAATGTTGGTCAGTTAGCTGTTCTTTAACTTGTGGCATTCAAAATGCTTTTGAAGTACTGTCTGGTTATAGGTTTTGTATATATTTTCAAAGAGTACTGGAAAGAAACAAGAAGAGTCAACCTTTGTCATCCTTTACAATTCTTTCACTTCCCATTGCTTGGAAAATGTCAGTGTGGCCTTATGGACCAGTGGACCACAAAGGCCATTCTCACACAAACCTGTCTGTAGGTGGAGAAGCTTCTGCAGGACGTTCCCTAACAGAGGCCATCAATTCCCCACTCCTTCTGGGCGGCACTGTGGAGTGTGGCTCCCTCTGGTGTCGCTCAGCTGAATGGCAAGGGGTTGCCCAATGATGGCTCCTTGGCTGAGAACTGTGGGGACACTGCCTCCCACCCCAAGAATGGCCAGCTGGGGATGTCATTCTCCTTTCAGGCCCTGCACCCTGGGTGGGGCCTGGCGCCCTCCCCTGCTTTCCCCAGTGCCTTCCTCACTCACATCACCCTGGTTCTCCCTGCGGTCCTGCCTTTGCTGGTAGGTATAGCGCATGCGGCCGTTGCTGTAGACGTGGACGTTACCTGGAGGTCAGAGGGACTGAGTCAGGGGGCGGGGCTGCCAGGGAAGGGAATGGCCGGCATCCAGTCTTCCACCATCACCCCCCGGGGGGCCTGGCTGTGGGGACGGCAGGGTACTTACTAGACGGGAAGCCACCGCCAAAGAACATGTTGAAGAGGTCCTCCGGGGAGATGTCAGCCTCAAAGCCACGGTGGAAGTCCCCATGTCCATGGCCATGTCGGGCTGCCTGGCTCTTGTCATCACCAAACTGGTCATATTGCTTCCTTTTCTCTGGGTTACTAAGTACTGCATATGCTGTGCCAATGGCTAGAAAAGAGGTGTAAGTCAGCCAAGCTTGAAGACACAGGGCATGCAGGTGGAGGCTTCGGCAGCCAAGAGCTCCCTTCCTTCAGGTACTCAAGTGGTGCTTTAGGAAGTGGGAGTCCTTGGGACCAGGGGGAGGTTTGGCTGTTGGGCCCATGTAGAGAGGGGGGCAGGCAGGAATACCTGAGGGGATCGAGGCAGTCTGGGCCGGGTGGAGGATTAACACTCAGGCTCCTGCTCTCCATCTCATGACGATGACCCACCCTTTTCTATACCCCAGGTCCTTTATGGGCTTTATCTTAGTTACTCCTCGAGCAATTGCCTAGAAGGGCCAAATCGCCAAGTTCTAGTCAAAACTTCTCCACATTCTGCCCCACAGAATGTAGTAGGGCCTGACGAGCCCTCTCCTCCCTGGTCCAGGTCTCAGCTGCTGTTCCTTGGCTTGGCTCCAGGGTCTCCCCATTAGAGCTCCCCAGGTAGGAGACCTGTGCTTCAAGGACCCAGCTCCAGGCCCTCCTCAAGCAGCTCACTCTCTCAGAGAAGTGGGTCAAAGCTGAATCTGCAACCTGCAACCCTTGAGAGTAAGGAGATCCCCCCTCCTCTGGCCATTCTGACAAGGCCCCAGGGCTAGATCTGGCCTCTCTGTGCCTGTTGTGCAGGCTGCAGGCAGAAGTCGGGGCTGGAGCAACATCAGCCATGGCCACCTTGCCTACCTAGTCCTATTCACCTTCTCTGTCTGGGGCTGGCTGACAGGCAGCAGTGGGATGACGTCTGCAGGACCAAACCTAAGCAGCCTGCTATGGAGTAACTTGGGGGGGCCTGGGGATACAGCACCCCAGGTCGTAGGGGTCAGCGCTGCCATCTGCTCTGTCACAGGCTCCTTTCTTGGCTGTGGTCACCACCTCATGTGAGTGTGTGTTGTGTGTGAGTGTGTGTGTGTGGTACAGGACTGGCTGTGGCTGCTGGTGACCATGAGGCCACTGACCTGAGGCTACCTGGCCCCTCAGCACAGGGAAACTGCTACCCAGATCCCAAGATGGGGGCATGCATGCGAGTCAGGAGGCCTGTTTCCGGTCTACAATTACGTGACCTTGGAGAAGCGAGTGGTCCTCTCTTGCTCAGCTCCCCTCCCGTAATTCCTGGGGGATGTGGAGGAAGGGGAGGCAGGGGTGGTCCTATGTGAGCTCTGACAGACTCTGTAGGCTGGAGGTGACTGCTAGGACTTTCTTTCTAGGCGGCTGCTCCTGAGCCCAGGGGACTTGGGTCCAAGGCCACTTCCTGGAAAAGTTGTCTGGGACCCTTATTCCTTCTCAAGGGCAAGAGATAAAAAAAAAAAAAATTCTCTGGCAGGAAACGAAGGCTGGCTCACCTTTGAAAGCCTCAGTGGCCCCGGGCGCATGGTTCTTGTCCGGGTGGAACTTGAGGGCCAGCTTGCGGTAGGCCTTCTTCAGGTCCTCGTCGGAGGCCCCTCTGCTCACCCCCAGGATCTCATAGTAATCTTTACACTGCTTGACCCTGGGGGAGGGGGTAGACGGACCAGGACCGTGAGGTGAGAGGGGGCGAGGGCCGTGCAGTGTGGGCACACAGCTCTGAGCAGGCTCAGGCGGCCAGCAGGGCACGGTTGACGGCTCCTCTAGGTGAGCTGTCAGGCCTCAGGGACGGGGGAGCCTTGGAAAGCTCCATCTGGGATGGGGAGCTGGGTAGGGCCCAGTGGAAACACCTGGAATACGTTTCGGATTTCAGAGGGGGCGGCTGCTGTGTTTCAGGCCAGGAACCACTTCCCCCTGCCAACAGCATCCTCGCCAGAGGCCACCTCAGAAGGACGGTCAATGTCCGTGCAGAGCTGGCCCACGCCCTGGAGGGCTAATTGTCTCTTGGCTCCATTCTGTGCTCCACAGCTCTGGTCTGAAAGGGTCTTTGTTAGGGGCGGGGGAGAGGCTGGAAGGGGAGCCCAAGCGCTATCTCTGATAAACAGGGCTGTGTAAAGAGGCTGGGCCTCGCCGGGCCAGCAGCAGAGGAAGCCAGCGGCGGAGTCAGCATTTCCAGCCTCTGCTGTGGGTTGTCTTGGCGGGAGGGGCCCACACAGGCCCGATTCCCACACTGCATTCCCGGGCCTGGTGAGCCTGCCCGGCTGGACCTCCTCCATCCTCAGGACTCTCCCAGGGCCCATCCAGACTACAGGCAGAGTGAGTGGGGGACAGGCTGCAGGAAGCCTTCTCTGGATCTGAAAACTTCCCAACAGCACCAGGCTCCAGCCCCTCTACCTTTTCACTGCTGCTACTTGCTCTGCGGTGTAGCCTTTGGTGCTCTCTCCTCCTCCAGCTTCTCCGTTGGCCGAGGGGGTGTCGGTCCCACCAGCTTTCCTGTGGGTTGTGTCTGTGGGTGAGGGATGGTCACTGGCAGACTGTGGCTTCTGGTTGAGGGACTCGATCAGGGCTGTGCAAGGCAAGCAAAGCACTCAGGGCTCCTGCTCCAACAAGGCCACGGGCCATAGCCGAGGGGGCCGCCTGGTCCTGGGAGAGGCCAGGACTCCCCCACCCCACCCCCGCATCCCACCTGCCTCTTCTCCCAGCAAAGCCACTAGCTCCCTCCCTGACTTGGACCTGGGCCAGAGTGGGGAAGTGGGGTGCCAGTGGGATAGTTGCCTGCTCCACATGTCTTAGGAGTTGTCAGGGTATGGGTTAGTTTAAATCTTTTTTTTCTTTTTAGGATTTTATTTATTTGAGAGAACTCAGAAGGAGAATGAAAAGCAGACTCCCCACCAATGCAGGGCTCGATCCACATTCAGTTTCTGGGCCAGGTGCTCACCCTGGGTTTCATTTCGTCCTCATACACCCCATCACCCATTACTGAGGTTCAGACAGATTTTTTTTTTTTATCAGCCAGGGCTGTACTGCTAGGAAGTGAGTGAGCTGAGATCTGAACCCAGGTCTTTCTAAATTGAACTCCTCTATTTGGGACGACTGTGCTGGTAGGGGCTCCCCATGCCAGATGCCCGGATCCCCACACAGGACCCTGGGGTCATGACCTAAGCCGAAGGTAGACATTTAATCAACTGAGCCACCCAGGCACCCCTAAGGTTTTATTTCAAAATAATCTGTACATCTAATGTAGGGCTCGAACTTACAACCCCTAGATCAAGAGTTGCACACTCTACCAACTTAGCCAGTCATGCGCCCCTGGATATGGGTTACTTTAAAACTCTGCATAAAAACATACTATCAATCCTTCAGGTTTTAAAAATCCCAGAGTTGGGAACACCTGGGTGGCTCAGTGGTTGAGCGTCTACCTTCGGCTCAGGGTGTGATCCCAGGCTCCAGGATCGAGTCCCACATCAGGCTCCCTGCATGGAGCCTGCTTCTCCCTCTGCCTGTGTCTCTGCCTCTCTCTCTGTGTCTCTCTGAGTAAATAAATAAATCTTATAATAAAATAAAATAAAAATCCCAGAGTAGTGTGTTTAACAGCCTTTGTTAAGTGTTGAGATGGCCAAAGCACTCTGCCCATCTCAGTGGGGACCCCACTTAGCAGGACCATGTGTTTCAGCTGGGATTGGCAGGAAAGGCCTCCTGGCAGTTTTCACTTAGCTGTGAAGGGGAATGGAGGCAATGCGTCTGCCCCAGGGAGCGGGAGATGGTAGGAGACTCAGGATAAAGATCTTTTCCATTACTTGCTCTTCTTTACATTTTTCAAGTGGCTGCCCACGTCAAACACCCTACTTTAATGTTCAGAGTCTACACAGGACATTGGCTGTTACCCTCAGATAGCGTCCCAGTTACTCAAACCTAAGCCTGTGGTTCCTGCCAATCAGGAAGAGCGCAAATCTCTGGCAAAGGTTCCCTGTGTCCATTTATTCCAGGCACAAAACCAGTTCTGGAAACCCTAGGTGTGCCTGGGGTACGGTGCCCTGGGAAGCCAGGCACCTGGACTACAGCAAGAACCCTGGACACTGTACTGAGGGAGGACAGCAGTGCCCCTGGCTGGTCCCTGGTTTCTTTCCAACACGCCAGGAGCCTGCTGGGCTCAAGGCCCTGGGTGGGTGGTGGACACCCTCTAAAGCAACATACCTGGGGCTCACACAGCAGGCCAGGAGCAGGGCTTGCTGGGAGCAGAACACGGAGACTCAAGTGGCACTGTGCCCTGAGCCACTGCTGTCCTAGGTGCAGCAAGTTCACGGGATCTCACTGGGAAAGGAGCGGACAATCAAGCTTGCCTTGCGTGAGGGAGGCAGAGGCCTCTGTAGCAAACCCGAAGAGTACAGGCTGGGAGGAGTGATCATAATGGGTGCTCTGCTCACCATAGTTAGGCAGGCCTGGACACAGTGCTCCGTGTGTACTAGTTCATTTAATCCAGACAGTGGCCTGAGAGGGAGGTTTTACTACCACCATCCCCACGGTAAAAAAAGGGCTGGATGTTTGATCTGCTGGCGCAGGGCTGCACAAGCTGGGCAGGCAGGACGTAATGCCTGGATGTCCATTATGCTATCCCGGACTGCCTAAGTCTGGCATCTGGCATGGGGGACCCCTTCCAGCGGCGTCATTCCAAATAGAGAAGAGGAGTTCAATTTAGAAAGACCTGGGTTCAAATCTCAGCTCACTCACTTCCTAGCAGTTCAGCCCTGGCCGATAAAAAATATAAAATCTGTCTGAACCTCAGTAATGGGTGATGGGGTGTATGAGGATGAAACGAGACCCACAGGTGAGTACCTGGCACAGACACAGAGTGAAAGTGCAAAATGAGTAGCTACTGATATTAGGACACACGCTGATGAACTGGCTGATGGGGAGGTGACCCGAGCAGGTGGGGCTAGGGGGCTCCAGGGCTTGCGAAGGCTAAGGGTCAGCCCTCAGCAGGCTCTGGACCCAAATGTCACCATGAGATTTCAGGCTGTCCCAGATGCCAGGCTCATGCCAGGCACTGAGGGAATGGTCAAAGAAGAAAACAAAAGATGAAGAGATGTTGATAAAGATGGGACAGAGGGAAGAGCTGGTTTGCTGGGTTTGGGAGCCTTTTATTTGATTGATTGATTTTCTTATTTTAAAGATTTTATTTGGGGCAGCTCGGGGGGGCTCAGTGGTTTAGCTCCGCCTTCAGCCCAGGGCCTGATCCTGGAGTCCTGGGATCGAGTCCCTCATCAGGCTCCCTGCATGGAGCCTGCTTCTCCCTCTGCCTGTGTCTCTGCCTCTCTCTCTCTCTCTCTGCCTCTCATTAACAAATAAATAAAATCTTAAAAATAAATAAATAAAGATTGTATTTATTTATTTATTTATTTGACAGAGAAAGAGAGCAAGAGCACAAGTAGGGGCAGTAGCAGAGGGAGAGGGAGAAGCAGGCTTCCCACTGAACAGGGAGCCTGACTTGGGGCTCCATCCCAGGACCCCAGGATCATGACCTGAGCCGAAGGCAGACACTTCATTGACTGAGCCCTCCAGACGCCCTTTGGTGGGCTTTTAGAGGACTAGTTTATTTCAGTTTCTCTGGAAGCCTCAGTGGTCCAGGCTGAGCTGGACCCTTATACCCTAAGGACCATCCATTCAACTGCTACAGATACACTGGAGCATCAGCCAGGAGATTAGAGGGACTCGCTCTAGTACTTCTCATGGAACATTCTGGAAGCTTCAGGGTAGTTACATGGAGTCAGCCACTCTAATTTCCTTACACTGCAGAACGGGAACCCAAAGGGGAATGAATGTGGTCTGGGTCATGCAGAAGGTTTCTGCTTGAGTTGGCAAATCAAGATTTCTGGTTGCTGTCAAGTAGGTCTGTCTCATGGCCTGGACACCCCTCTGCCAGACCTGTGGGACGTGACTGTCTCATCCTGACTCACTGTTACGTCCCTTATGGCAAGTGGCTGGCAGGCAAATGTCACAAAAGAGTATGACACAGAACAGCTTAACTGGACTCTGGAGCGAGACAGACAAGGCTGGGTTCAAATCCTGCCCCTGCCCCCTTGCAGTAACGCTGGCAGACATCTAAAAAGACAGGAACTTGGTGGAAGAAATGAGAGCTGCAGTGGGGGAGGTGGCAGCTGAAGCAGAGACGAGACCATCTCTAAGGCCAGAGCCACCAGCGGTGGCCCCTCCTCAAACCCAGACTGGAGGGTGAGAGTGCCCGGGGTCAGAGCTGGCCCGGCCGCTTGCTAGCAAGGTCGTCTTGGACAAGCTGATTTAGCGTCTTCACGTACAACTGTATCTCCCTCCAGAGCGCTGAAGGAGTAAGTAAGCAAATGCATATAAAGGACTTAGCCCAACACTCAGCAAACGTTAAGCGTTACCTGTTCCTGTTCGTTTCCAGGCCCTCTCTATGTACCTGTGGTGCTCTAAGGGAGTCGGGAAAGGAAGGCCCGCGGAGGGCAAGAGCCTCGGAGCAGAGATGGACAGTCAGGCTCCTTTGCCAATTAGCCACGTATGGAACTCGTCAGTGAAGGCATGACCCATGCCCTCACGGGGTGGCTTTGAGGCGTAAATAAGATTCGGTGAATGGGACGGCTGAGTGCACAGTGTGCTCAGGAAGGCTGACGGACTGGACGACCCGCACGGACAGCCTGCCACCTCTCACTCCAACACCCTGAAAGCAGGATCCCCTGGCAACCAAACGTCCCTCCCCGACACACTGGCCTGTCCAGCTCGGGCCTTCCTGACGTCACCAGGACCCTGAGACAGCCTGAGCTGCAAGAACACCCAGGCTGACCCTCTCTCTGTGGGCTGGGGAAACTGAGGATGTTCTCATCGGCCCCCTGAAAACCCTGGTGTTTTCCACCACTGTTGCTGAGCCTCAGGCAAAAGCAAAGCGCAGTGGGCTGCCAGGTGCTGGGCAGAAACTCCCAGACAGGGACGGACTGGCCCCACTAGCCCTGCCCTAGGACTTCCCCGCTTAGGCCCTGCTCCTACCCGACAGTGTAAGGGTCCGGCCCTCGGTCCCACCTCCTGCGGGAAAGTCTGAAATCCCCTCATGGCCTTTTCACTGTGAAGTCCCTCTCACCCTGACCTTTCCTGTCTGTCCCTCCACTTCACCTAGACCCATCTGCCTGTGCTCTCCATCCTGCCCTCTCATTTTTTGACTTGCCCGTCTCCCATGAGGCCTGACCGTGCTGCTCACCACCTCCCTGACACCCTCTCCATGGCCACCTGGCTGCTGCCCTCTCCTGGGATCGCGGCTTCTTGCTGTTGCTTCCGTCTCACGGGTTGCTTGCTGCCCGGGGCTCTGCCTGTTGGCTAAGGACAGATGCCGCCCGGGGCAGTGCCTGCAGCAACCTCCTCCGCGGTTCTGCACCTTCCCACGGTGACCCCAGCCAGCGCCCTCAAACCCACGATCCCAGACTTTCAGCTGGAACCTGGTTCTCTCCTGAGCTCCGGGCTGACAGCTCCTTCGGACACCCACGGCACCTCACGCTCTCCCCATCTCTTCCCGGTCACCATCCTCAACTCTGCTTTCTCCCTGGTCACATTGGGCTGGGGGGCTGTGTCCCCATTTCTCCTCAGCACACGTCTCTTACACAAGGTGTGGTGCCTCCTCTCCGATGACCTGACCCTCACCTGGAATGCCTTATCTCCTGACCTACTCGCTGACTCCAGTCTCTCTTCCCTCTCATTAACCCTTCACGCTGTGCTCTTTTGAGAACAGCACCCTTATCTTATTCCTGCTATCAACATCTTCAATGGTCTTTTCACCATTTTCACTTTATTCACAGAATAAAGTGAATATCCTGGTCCGGCAGGAAGGGATTTCCACGATCTGGCCCCAGCCTACTTTCCAGCCTCAATCCTCTCTATACTCACATTCCACCGCCACAGCTGCCAAATCTTGCCACACCCCATCCTCTCCCCCAAACCTCCCATCCCCAGTCTGTCCTTCTCCAAGTCTGCTCCCTGCCTCCAAAGTGCAGTTCAAATGCTGCTTCCGTCTCCCTCCCTGAAGCTCTCCCTCACTGCGATCTACCCCGGTTTTTCAGTCCCTGCTAGGGCACTCACTAGACTGCTGGTAGTTCAGAGTTCAGAGCTGCATCCCCAGCACTCTGCTCCAGCGGCAGACCATGAACCCATGGAGGGCAGGTGCTGGATCTCTCACGTCCATCCTTCATTCCCCCGGCATCTAACAGCGTGCTGAATTTTTCTTTGGCCGTGGTATTATTTTTTGCTATAACTCTGTCTCCTTCGCTAGACTGTAAGCTCCTTGAAGTGAAGGATCAAGTCTTACCAATCCTGCACACCACTTAGCACCAAGCAGAGGACTTTGCAAATAAAACAAACAAAAACGTCTGTTGCATTGAATGAGCACCTGGAATGAGCTCAAACCTCAAACGGCAAGTGTAAATAACTACCTAACATATATATACATACATATGTATGTGTGTGTGTGTGTATATATATATTTTCCCCCCCAAACCAAGATTTCTCTATCGCAGGCCTACATTAACCCCAGGTCCTTGTCAGCTCAGTACAGGGCTGCAGATGGTACAAGGTGAAGGTTACAGAGAGGCATGAGGCATATAGTCTCTCCAGAATAGTGGGAATACGACAGTTATACAGGTGGCTACTTGGCCTGAGCAAATTCCATTTCTTAAGCCCCAGGAAGGACACTAGTCCAAGCCCCCAAACTGGCCCAGGAGGCTGCTGACAGGAAGACCTCCGCAGACCATGCAGTTGCCATCCTTTCTTGGCTGCCGGCTCCTGAAACCCCAGAAGCATCAGAATCAGACAGGATTCTGAGATTGGTAGGGCCCCCACCCCATCATTCTCCTCTCACAGGGTGTGGTTTATTTCATAGGGAAGCTCCTTGAGCGGGTCACCTCAAGAATCCTGGCAAATACAGACTGAAATCCTTCCAAGAGAAGGCAAATAGGCCAAAGATCAACCTGTAGTCAGGAGGGAGGAAAACTTGAGCGTTCCAGGTGGCCTCTTCTGCCAGTGTTCCCCCTTCTCTCTCTCTTTTTAAGATTTTACTTATTTATGAGAAACAGAGAGAGAGAGAGGGGCAGAGACACGGGCAGAGGGAGAAGCAGGCTCCATACAGGGAGACCGATGCGGAACTCGATTCCAGGACCCCAGGATCACTTGGGGCAGGCGCTAAACTGCTGAGTCACACAGGGATCCCCACGTTCCCCTTTCTCAATCCCACATATGGGCAAGGGAGGTTAGGAGGCTGACGGCTCCTTCATTTCATTCTTCTACTAAACGTTTATAGAGCCACAGAACTTTCTAATTTCTAGCTGTGTAATCCTGGGCAAGTCCCTTGCCTCTGAAATATTTCCTCATCTATAGAACAAAGATAACGATCTTTGCTCTGCCTCCCTGGTAGGGCAGGCTCAAGTGAGTAGACGCATTTGAAAGACCTTTCCTTTTTTTTTTTTTTTTTTTTTTTTAAGATTTAAAATTTTTTTAAAAAGTAATCTCTACACCAACTGTGGGGCTTGAATTTACAACCCGGAGGTCAAGAGTGGCATGCAGTAGGGACTGGTCCAGCCAGGTGCCCCTCCAAGGAGCTTTCTAAACTGAGAGGCCCTATGGTATGATTGTTACATTAGCTGCTCCAACCCTCTAATTTTCCAGATAAGGAAACCCAAGCTCGGGATCCCTGGGTGGCGCAGTGGTTTGGCGCCTGCCTTTGGCCCAGGGCGCGATCCTGGAGACCCGGGATCGAATCCCACGTGGGGCTCCCGGTGCATGGAGCCTGCTTCTCCCTCTGCCTGTGTCTCTGCCTCTCTCTCTCTCTCACTGTGTGCCTATCACAAATAAATAAAAATTCAAAAAAATATTAAAAAAAAAAAAAAGGAAACCCAAGCTCAGGAAGATCACATGGTAGCAGTCAGAATAAGAACCCAGGTCTTCTGACCTCAGGTCTTACTACACGCTATCTTGCTGGTATGAACCCTGTGTTTTTTTTAAGATTTTATTTATTTATTAATGAGAGAGACAGAGAGAGAGAGAGAGAGAGAGAGAGAGAGAGAGAGAGAGAGAGAGAGACAGGCAGAGGGAGAAGCAGGCTCCATGCGGGGAGCCTGACGTGGGACTCGATCCCCGATCTCCAGGTTCAGGCCCTGGGCTGAAGGCGGTGCTAAACCGCTGAGCCACCCGGGCTGCCCATAATGGACTCTTTTTTAAAAAAAGATTGTATTTATTTGAGAGACTGAAAGAGAGCGCAGGAGCGGGGAGGGGCCGAGGCGGAGGGAGAAGCAGGCTCCCCGCCGAGCGCGGCTCGATCCCAGGACCCCGGGGCCGTGACCTGGGCTGCAGGCGGCCGCTTAACCGACGGAGCCACCCGGGCGCGCCTGGGCCCCCCGTTTCTCCTCCCGGGCTTGTATTACGAAGAGCTTCCCTGAAGTCTCGGGTTAACGAAGAAGAGGGTTCCTGGGTGGCGTGAGATGCTGAGTGGTCGCGACAACCTCCCGGGTCCCTCCCAGGTGGAGGCCCCGCACCTCGCAGCAGGTGCGGAGGGTCCAGGAGGGTCCTGGAGGGGCGGCGGGGGAAGGGCAGGCTCCAGTTTCGGGGGGGGGGGTGCTCCCCGGCCCGCGCCCCGAGACATGCCAGGGAGGGACGGCAGGAGGACGCCCTCCCGGGCCGTGCGGAGGCCAGGAGCCCCCCCTCCCGCCCCAGAAGCCATTCTCTCCGCCAGAGCAGTTCTGTTTATTTTGCTAAACTGTAACATTTCCCCGGCCGCCGACCGGCCCCGGGCCGCCGAATGGCCCCTTGGGAAAAGTAGTCCGACTCGGCTTCCAGGTTAAGTTCGCCGCCCCTCGCCCGCCGGCGCCCCTCGCCCTCGGGAACTCTGAATCTCACACAGTTCCACAAACACCCCGAAACTTGAAGTCGCGGCCGCCCCTGTCATCAGGTGTCCAGCGTCCGGGAGAGGCGTGGGAATCAAAGACTACACCTCCCAGCGGCCCCCGCGCGTCTCAGGGCGCAGGCGTAGCCGCGCCTAGCTCCCCTCCCCCCTCCTCCAACTGCTCCCCTCGGTCCGTTCCCGTATTCCCCCCATCAGTTCTAATGTCCCCTCTGCCTCTCCGGCTCTTCACACTCACCGCGGACTCGCGGCGTCGGGTACAGCCGCTGCGCCTTCTCCAGGAAGCGGAGCGCCCGGTCGGGCTGGTTGCTCTGGATGGCCTTGAGGGCGATGCTAATACAGCGCTCGGCTTCATCCTTGTTGGATTCCATGGCGGAACCAGAGCGCGGAACCAGGGAGGGGGAGGCCGGGCGAGCGGAGGGCTGCGCCAGCCGCCGGCACGTCGCGGGGCAGGCGGGCGCAGGGTGATGACACAAACCCCCTCGCCCCTCCTTTTCCGAGATTTGAGCGAGAGTTGAGCGAGGGCGGAAGTGCTACCGTATGTCTCCTAAGAGGGGCGCGGCTAGGAGAGGTATTGCCGCGGGTGCGTGCCCAACCATCCTGGGTCATGCTGGGGCCCCTAAGGTGGACCATATGCTTGCGCGTTCTTGGAAGTGACTCTGTGGCCTTGAGCCGAAGGTCATTTATCGATTTCGTCCAACAGGCATTTGCCAGGCTGGGTGTGCGCAGTGGTGAACACAACGGAGCCCTGCCCTCCTAGAACTTGCGCTCTGGTTGGCGGGGCGGGAGATGGAGATGCTCAGGTGGGGACAGGTGCTGTGAAGAAAATGAAGAAGGGACTAGAGAGCGGGAGGTGCTAGTTTAAGTAGGCTGATGAGAAAAATCTCTCAAAAGAAGTTGGCATTCTAACAGAAATCTGAATCCAGGACAAAGAGCGGGTTTTCCAGATACGACTTTATTTCTTTTTCTTTTTTTTAAGATTTGATTTTCTTAGTAGAGAGAGAGAGCGCACAAGCGGGGGAGCAGGGCAGAGGGACAAGAAGGTCCCCCACCTCCACCCCCCCCCCCCCCCCCGAGCAGGGAGGCTGATGGATGGGGGCTCCTTGCCGGGGCCCCAGGATCGTCACCCGAGCCAAAGGCGGTTGCTTGGCCGACTGAGCCACCCAGGCGCCCCCCCCCCCCATGGGACCGTTTGCAGGGAGGGGTGGTCCAGGCTGGAGGAAGAGCTTGCAAAGGGCTCTAGGCTTGGGAACTTTCTCGATGAGTTACTACTGGATCCCCCCCGGAGAAGCCTGCGGGCTTACCCTGGAGAGCGGAATTGGCCACCGCTCCAGTGAAAGCCCCCCGGCCGGTTTCCGGCCCACATCGCCAGCTCAGCTGGTCAGGTCTCAGCCCCTCTCTGGGGTTTTCCCGCCGGATGTGCGAAGAGGCCCCCTGCTCTAACCCAGGTGGGGATGAAGGGTAACTCGGATGATCAGGGCGACGATGGCAGTGGTGAGCAGTCGCCGACCTCTAGATGTGGTTTTGCAGACACACGTCAGAATGAGTTTGTTCGCTGCTGGATGGGATGTGGGACTGAGGAAGAGGGCTGTCCAGCGTGATTTCAGGCTTTGGGGCTGGGCAGTGAAGGAACAAAGCCCGCCTTTACTGCAGCAAGAGAAGCTGGGGGAAGCCGGAGAGGAGTTTGGTAGAGGGGATAGGAGATGTCTGGTTTAGGGCGTGTTAGGTTTGTGATGCCTTTACTTTTTTTTTTTTTAAGATTTTATTTATTCATGAGAGACACAGAGAGAGAAAGAGAGGCAGAGACACAGGCAGAGAGAGAAGCAGGATCCATGCAGGGGGCCTGATGCAGGACTCGATCCCAGGACCCCGGGGTCACACCCTGAGTCCAAGGCAGATGCTCAACCACTGAGCCACCCAGGTGGCTCACTTAATCATTTAATTAATGATTTAATGATGAAATCACTTAATTGGGCAAGAGATTTTGGTAGTGCAGGAGACAGGGGAGACAATTACAGGAGTAGGCGGGGGTGTAGGGCATCTGGGGCACAAGTGAGGGGATGGCTTTAGATAGCTGTATGGTCGACTCCAGATTTTCAGGAGGGAAGGCAGCGTGGCTCGGTATACTGCAGGCCAGCTGGTAAAATTGGAAGTGGGAACATAAGGAAGTTCCTTTCAAATAGGTTTTATTTTCTCAGTGTAATAAGAAACAGGACATCCTTGGCTCTACAGGCTCACTCCTTGGAAGTCTCTTCACCTCCAGCTTTCCTTTCCGTTCCCACAGTTCCCTTCTTAATGCAAACACTTACAGACCGACCGCCAGCTGGCCTGCCAGAGAATAGCCTGATGGCGGCGGCATCAGCCCCTCCTTTTTTTTTTTTTTTTTAAAGATTTTATTTATTTATTCATGAGAGACCCAAAGAGAGAGACAGAGGCAGAGGCAGAGGGAGAAGCAGGCTCCATGCAGAGAGCCCGACGTGGGACTCGACCCTGGGACTCCAGGATCACACCCTGGGTGGAAGGCAGTCGCTCAACTGCTGAGCCACCTGGGCGTCCCAGCCCTTCCCTAATAAGACAGCCCTACCCTTGGAGAAAAGATCTCCGAAGATTGACCAGTCCCTAACATATGTTAATGAATAAATACTAGGACACCCTTCATCTCGCCTTTGTGAGGTTTGTTGACCTAGGACTGCCAGGCCAATCGTCCCCTCTTCTGCTGAGTATCACGAAGTCTCCTCTTTCATTTCCTGAGTATCACGGGGCCCCTCTTCTCCGGCCGACCACAGGTGCTTCACTTTGTGAAGGGGGCACTCGTGTAAAAGAAGGCCTGTAAGTTCATTGCGTTAAGGGATTGGGCTGTGATTGCCCAGCCGCTGGCTGGCGAGCCCTCTTCTTCTTTCCTGCAACACATAAAAATGACAAAATGTTACTTAAATTTAGAGTCTGTGGTCAGTAATTTGGCTCGGTTGGCAGGGTCTGGAACAGTAAGATGCTGGAGAGACAGGCTGAGTGTGTGTATGTCGTAGGGCTGCTCTGTGCCTTATTTTCTGCATTCTTCTCCTTCCTTCCTTTCTGCAGCTGAGCTGGGTCTCTGCATTGTTTCCATTCAGAAAGGCTTTGTGCTTTCAGAAGGGATTATAAACTGTGTCTGACTGCTGGTCTAACCAGCCTCCATGTTACGGCTCCCTACCTTTCTTGTAGATCTCAAACTGGGTGTATTGTTTTTCATCTGAGGCATTTTGACTCTCTATGGGTCCTTCTCAGTCCAAAGGCCAGGATGGGAGCCACACTTCTGCTCAGTTCAGGTTAAACATTATGGTCCTTGGTCTATCGATTTTGTTTAAAAATGGAACTGGTAGGCCAGCTTGAAATTACAGTTTCTCCTTGATAGTTCTTGAAATCAAGATGTCATGATTTTGATCCAAGGGAAAAATTGGAAAGGTCTCCCTTGACTAGCTGGGATCCTGGTATTTGTGGGAGGGTAAGGCTCAAAAAGAGTGGAAAAAAAAAGTTCTTAATTGCCTCCACAGATACCCAGGAGAAGTCACTGGGGAAATCAATCCCCAAATGAATCTCAGCATCTCCTCATTTTGCTTCTAGAGCTGACACCATCCTTGTATTAGATGACCAGTAGTCTCCGTATTTCCCTCCACTGGGGGCACCAAGAATTCACCGTCTGACCTTAATAAGCTTTAATCTCCTATTGTCTCCTCTCCATCTCTATAAGTCATTTCACCCCAACCCTATCTATCTGTCCTCCTAAATTATCTTTCCCGTTGGCCACACAAACTTGTTCTTCCAGGCTCAGCTTCAGCTCCATCTCTGCAAAGAGGTAGGATTAACTTAACAGGCAGATGTCTATATGGAAAGCCAGGCCCTGTGCAGAATTTGAGGGATTCAGAATGCACTATGTCTAAAGGACAGTGCCTGACCTCAGGGAACTCACAGTCCAGTAGAGGAGCTCAACAGTAAAAAGCGAGAGGACAGTGTGGCAAGTACAACAGTGGGATTGTGGGTAAGCTCCGGAGGAGGCTCAGAAGAGAGTTGCTAGTTGCGTGTGTGGGGTCTGAGATGACATCTGAGACAAGATCTGAGGCTGAGAAGGGGCCTCCTCCTTTGTGAGTCTCGCTCCCCCAAGGACACTTACCTTCACTGCCTCCCACAGCAAGATGAAGATCTTTTTTTTTTTTAATTTTTAAATATTTATTTATTTATTTATTTATTTATTTATTTATTTATTTATTTATTTATATTATTTTTTTTAAGATGAAGATCTTGCCCTCATGTCCCCCATGGCCTGAGCACAGGGCCTGATACCTAATATGGGCTCAAATTTGTGAAGAGAGTAAATGGATCTCAGAGACAGGTTTTTCTCTCTATTCAGAGTTTTCTCTTTATTCAGAGTTTTCCTGAACTAGCTAGGCGGATAAATTCCTGCCTAAAGCTTCAGGAGGAATTGCCAAATCAGTACCCCCCCCTCCCTGTCCTTTGCTCTTTTGCTGGTTTCCCAGTGTCCCTTGCTGCCTCCAAATGTGGCTCACCAAACCTTTCTTTTTAGAGAGCTCCAGGCCCCCAAATCTCACCCTGAGAAACTGCTCTTACTGATTAAACCATAGTATACAATGGAATACTGTGCAGCTATGGGAATGGCGGGGAGGCTTTCCAATGTATCCCTTAAAAAATTTATGTATTTATATTTTTGAGAGAAAGAGAAGGCAGGTGGGAGCTGAGAAGGACAAGAAGACTCTGTGCCGACATGAGGCCCGATCCCACAACCCTGAGGCCATGACCTGAGCCGAAACCGGAGAGTTGAACGCTCAACTGACTGAGCCACCCAGACACCCCTTTATGTCCTATAATGTTAGGGTTGACTTTGGAACCATGTGAACGTTCACCTATGGAAAAAGAAAGAAGAAAACCTGAGCCTCACACTGAAGATGGTGAAAATTTACCCACATGTGCATGACTGATAGGTGATTGAATATTCGAGTTTCAACAAATTACTGGTTGAATGAGTTCAAAAGTATTTCCCCATAGCATCTTTGGGGATCTCCACTGTGGTCCTTTGGCCTCTCTCTTATCCCTAGAGAAAAAGGAGCTCTTGACACCTAGGTAGGGCTGGAGTCTGGAAAGACGGCACCAGGCACTTGCGGTCCTTCCTACCAAACCTGTCACTGATAGATAACCCATAGATAACCCGCCAAGCACAGGTTCTTTGATTCAAAGTCCTTTCACTTCGATGGTCTTTACTCCTAACATCCCTTGGGGAAGAGACGGAGCTGGTGTTAGTATTTTACAGTTAGGAAACTGGTTCAGACTTATGTGTTTGTGATTAGTTGGCCTTGAAGCTCAGAGAACCCAGATTTTTAGGAGATTCCTACACCATATCTCTACCCTAGACCCCTTTCCTGGGTCCAGATTCTTTTTTTTTTTTTTAATGTTAATGTTTCTT